GGGGCGCCGTTTGCAAGCTCGGCTCCTCGTGCCGCCGCGGCCAGCGAGACGACCCGGGCCGGGACGCGGCACGAGCGCCCCGCACAGTGCGGCGCCGGCCCCGGGGTGACGCCGGGAACAGGCTCCCGCGCGGGGAGTTTGCCGGGGTTTCAAATGTGCGAATGTCCTTAAATAACCTGCGGAGCCTGGAGAGAGGAGCCAACCGTCACACCCAGCGCTGGATTCCACATTAACAACCTCCTTCCGCCGCGCTAAACTTTGCCCTTGAGGACTTTTGTTTAACTTTTTAATTTGAAAAACAGATACGGCTGCCTTGCAGCCCTCGGGGGTTTGGGGTTTTTTTTTTTCCTTCCTTTCTTCGGTGCTTGCTGAAAGGTTTCCTTGTTGCGGGGGGAGATGTGCCAGGAGAGCGGACGTCGGACAAGTCCTCACTTGATGCTCTTCCCCTTTCCAAGAGCGCGAGGGCTGTTTGGAGAAGACTTTGAGAAGCTCCAGGCCTGGTTTCCCGCTCCCGATGTCGGCACAACCTGACGCCGACGTCAAGGAGGAGCTCTGGGCTCTTCTCCTAAACACCCGGAGTTGCAGGGGGGTTTCCTTGCTGCTCTTCCCAGGCAGAGCGGCCCCGGTGGGAAGTGGCGGGAGGACCCGCGCGCTGGGGAGCAGCCCAGGAAGCAAGCAGGCCCCGTCGGAGCCGTGCAGTCCCCATCCCAGCCTTCCTGGTTAGGATTCACTCAAGTAGATATTGTTTATGGTTCATAAAACGTTACTACTGCGAGCGCTCGCACATACTGGCAGCACAGAGTTTCGTGCTGTAAATTAGGAGGGGGGGAAAAGTGCAGCAATACTCCTGCGAGGACGGTAAAGCGGAGCCCCGCAATGGTTAAACGGGATTTTATAAGCACGTTCCGTGTGGAACTGTTTTGCATTACATGAGTTGAATACCTTAGAGATGACACACATCTGCAGGCACTTTATTAAATCCTTAGTCAGCACTTTCCAACCTGATGAGATTACTTCTTCATTTGACTGGAGAGAGGGAGGCGAGGAGCTCGTCCCGGCCGGCGCGATGCTTTCTGATGTTTCACCTTGGCGGCGAGCAGAGGACGGCGCGACGCTGCGCAGGGCCGCGCGCATCCCGCTCCGGAGCAGCCCGAGCTCCCGTGCATCCGAGCTCGACGCTCGCTTGTACGTCAGGGTCGCGGGAAGTGACGGGCAAAGCGTACAAGCCGCGAGCAGAGCGCACTTGCAAGCTCCCAAAGTGCCCGTGCGGGCTCCTTTTCTTGCCTCGAACCTCCTAATCCTGCAGGACTGCTCGGCGAGGCACCGCGGTGGGACAGGGACGCGCTCTGGCCCACAGCGCTGCAGCCCTGACCTGGCCGGACCGGGGCATCCGATGGGCAATGCACCCACACCGCGCTGCAGCCCGTGGAGCGTCACCCCTGTGCCGAATGCACCTTCCGCACAGGAGCGATTCCCCCGCCAGGAAAAACTACCCGCGCAGCCCGGGCTTGCAGGCGCAAGGGTTAATTAAGTTTTTTCCCGGGTATTAAGCCCGCGCGGTGCCTGCAGGAGTCATATTGACACCCCGGCGCACGGTAACTCTACTCCTTTATTGACATGTTGCTAGTCGGGAGCACAATAGCGCTCTGTGTCTGCAAATCATTGCTAAAATCATCTCGGGAAGAGGCGGGGGGGGCGAAAAGAAAGTTTGAGAGCGGAGCGCGAGACAAAGGCCCCGGAGCTGCAGTGCGCCGCAGAACTCCCGAGTCAGCAACTTCTATTGATTAAAAACTAACCTTTAAAGTAACTCGCGGAGTGTGTGGTTAGCATTTAAATTTAAACATGTCATGAGTTGATTTGTGTTGCTGAATACCAACTCCAAAGGAGTTACATTCACGTCGGATTTTTCTCCCCCCCCTTTTTTTTTTCTTTTTGCGCTCCCCCCTCCCTTAATTCCCTTAAGCAGCTCAAGTATTCCGTGCAATGTCAATAGGGCAGCGCGAAAGGGGAGACGGAGGGGGGGACCAAAAAAAAAAAAAAAAAAGGTGTTTTGCAAAGGGAGAAGGGGGGGGCCGTGCCGGCGCTTTTCCCATGCAAATAGCTCCCCACCGCTGCCAAAAAAAATAAATAAATAATAAAAAATGAGCGCAGAGCCGAGCGCGGGGCGCAATAATTAGCCCTTTGTCTAAGTTTGCCGAGTGCCGGAGCGCGGCAGATTAATGAAGGCGGCGGCGGCGGAGCCGTCGGGGTGCGCGGGGCGCGCGGGGCAGCGCGCGCTGCAGCGGGGCGGCCG